TTGCCTTTGACATGGCTGCTGCCCACCATGGATTCATCTGAATGACGAGCCTTTGGTCAGATAGACCTCCGTGGAGACTGTCGGAGCTCAAGCTAATTACAGAGTCTTTGGAAGGTCAAAGAGAGGGTTGAGTTTTGAAGAGCCCTACACACTTCTCCTTACGTCAGTTTGTCCTCTGACCTTCTTGCAACCCATGGCGTAAGGGCAGACCAGAGATGCTCAGTTGTGTAGGATGATAATTGCTGCCACAGTGACTGTTTCTTTGTCCCTCGTGAAGCTACCAGGGATGTGGCCTTGGTAAGGAGCCCTGCCATTCAGCCAGTCAGCTAGGTGTGCCTGGTGGGAAGGGGCCGTAGACAGTTTGAATCTGAGTGAGGGTAAAAATGTCATTGTTCCTTGGTTCTTCAGGTCTGCCACCTTCAGTCCAGTGGGCTATTCCTTATAGAAGAGAAAGACATCTAGGGAGCCATCTGAGTAGGGGTGTGACACCAGGGTCTCTGACCCCAGGCTTCTTGTCAGCCTGCCCCTGTCTACCTGGTCTGCAGGGCAGGTAGCATCTGCTGCCAGACTGGAGGCTCTGGAGCTCTTAAAAAGCCCACTCATTCCATTCTCTTTACTTCCCAGCTGCAGCAGAGGAGTGGCTGGACCCATCTTCTGCCCTTGTCTTCATAATCTGGTTATGGAGGAGCATGGTGACGAGGAGGCTGCCACTCCAAGACATCCTGTGCTCAGTTCCCTCATGGGGTCTGCTCCGGACTTGGAAATAATTTGCCCCAGAGTGGGCAGGGGGCAGGAATCCAGGTGGTCATGGCTGGGGGTTTGAGCCAGTTTGGGATCATGCCAAGAGCTTTTGCAGTAGCCCTGGTCTGTCACCCTCTGAAAGCCATGCAGGGGATAAGAGTTATCTCCATCTTAGTTTTTCTCTTTTTTCATTTAGCCACAAGACAGAATTGTATCACACATCTCCAAAACGAGTAAAATGGCATTTCAGCTTCTTGTCTTTATAGACTCTCTGAACTTTAGGAAAGATCATTCTGGTCCCTTTTCATTAATAATGAAAACCAGGGGGCAATAAAATGTTCTTAACGTGAGCATGGCAGGAATGGAGGAGCAGCGAGGGGCAAAGGGTGAGGCTGGCAGGGAACCACAGGTGTTTCTCGGGGTTCGAGGAGCTCAGAGCTCCGGAATAGTGGGGGCAACTGGAGGAGGGACCTAGATCTTGGAGTCCTGAGCTGCCAGCGTCACTTAGCCTTGGCAGCTCAGAGTACTCAAAAGAGAAGGCTGTGCTTCTGAAGGCGATATGTTTGCAGGAAAGCAGAAGAATCCAGCAAACTTTGGGTTCTGGTCAAGTTTTTAGTCTGGTTACAGCTGCTTTCCTGTAAGATGTTTAGTGGGTATTTCAGTGGTACATGTGATATTCTGGATGTAGGCCCCATTTTGAAGATGTTCTCTCTGAGGATCTTGGCTGCACAGATACACATTCTGGGTGTGGATTAAAGCCCTGAGCAGTGACTCTTTTGAAGAATGGCAAGATTACTCTACCTTCATGTTTTCCTCCTAAAAATGAACTTGCACTAGACGTTGGATTTTGCATCTGGCATGCAGAGCAAGGCTGGCTAGAAGAAAAAGGGGAGACAAAGAGAAGTCTGACTGGGACTCAGACCAGGTCCTTGGGGTCAAGGTGAAAGGTCCATCTACCACAGTGGTCTCAGAGCTGCCTGTTGATGAGAGGTGATTCGCATCTGATAGGGATGCCTGCTGCGAGGCCAAGCGTCGCTGTCTCCTTCCCCAGACTGTTTCTTAGACATTAACACTGAGTGTCACTGCACAGCCCAGGAAGGGAGTGGGGACGTCCTTGCTAACCACAACACAAACCCAGAACCCATAAAAGAATAGACTGGTAAATTTATATAAACATGAAAATGTCTGCATGCCACCAAACACCATGCGCAGAGTCAAAAGACAAACTGGAGAAGATACTTAGGATTTGAATCACAGACAAAGGGCTAATAGCCCTGCTATATGAAAAGTCCTTCTAAAGTGATAAGGAAAAAGAAATCAAGTAGAAAAGTGAAGAACATACAGTACACCGAGAAGGAAGTGCTGATGAGAAGATGCTCACTCCTTACTCAGAATAAGATCAGTGCAAACTAAACTGCAGGGAAGTACTGTTTCTCCACGGCAATACTGGCAGGAGTCTGCATGCTTGATGGACACGTTATGGTGGTTGTGGGGAAGCAGGCACCGAGGGTGTCGCTGCTGGGGCGAGTTGGTGGACCCCCACGGAGGCCGTTGGGCAGCATCTCTCCAAACTGCAAGCGCGCATGCCTTTGACCCGCCTCCTGGGAGTTCTGCATTTACAGATGCGCTGTGCCTGTGGAGAGGAGACGCATGTGCACGGTTGCTGGTGGCAGCATGTGTGAAGTACAAGATTGAAAATGAGCTAAATGTCCATCAGGAGGGAATAGGTTAAATGGAATATTATGCAGCTGTAGGAAAAGAGAAGATTGAGAAAGAGGGCAAAGAAAAGGAAAATAAGATGTGTCTGCAGTGTCCTATACTTGCCTGTGCGTACAAATTCTCTGGAGGGATAAACAGGAAGCTGTTGACTGTGACTGGTGGGGGAGGAAGCCTTTTTGCAGTAGACCGACTTAAGCTATTTGATGTTGAAACCAGATGCGTGTATTACCTATTCAAAAAATGTAGAGCAAGGGCTGGCCCGGTGGCGCACTGGATAGTGTGCCGCTTGGGAAGCGCGGCGGCGCTCCCGCCCGAGGGTTCGGATCCCACATACAGACCGGTTCCCGCTCACTGGCTGAGCGAGGCGCGGGAGCGACACCGAGGGTTGCGATCCCGTTGCCGGTCCCCGGTCCGGTGCGGGGGCAACACTGAGGGTTGCGATCCGTTGCCGGACACGGAAAAAGACAAAAGACAAAAAAAAAAAAAAAAAAAAAATATAGAGCAAAAAGTGGAAGTTGAGGGCTGAGGGATTACAGTTTTGTGACCCAGACTCCAGGGCTGGCCACACTGGGGAGTCTCAAGTGGAATCTATGGTCTGGGAGGGAGGGGGGGCGTGGTGGTCAAGGAGAGACCCTCCAGGCCCCTCTATCCGTGTCCCCTCTGCTTTCTGAGTGCCCCTTCAGCAGCCCACGGAGGAGGGAGTGTCTCCCTTGTCCACGTGGGTTTTCCCCTTTGTCCCCTATCCCTCAGCCTGCCTCTGAGATTAAAGAATGATCCCTGGATCCCTGTCCTTTTGTCATGAAAACCAGGAGGTGAGAAGTACCTCCAAGAGCTTGAAGGCACGGGTGAGATCACGGTGAAGGTGGGAACGGCTGGGTGTTGCCGAAGAAGTGAGTCCTTCAGCTTTGCTCAGCCGAACTGGGACGCTCCTTCCAGGAGCTTCAGGAACTCTGTTGCTCCCCCTTCTCCACCCTTCTCTGTCCCAGCTTCCCCTCCAGCCCCAGCTGCTGCTCACAGCAGGCATGCGCCTCCTGGATACTTCCCACTGGTGCTGCCTTCCCATTCCACAGCTGGTCTATGGCCCACATCTCCGCTGTTCTGGGAACAGTGGCCCAGGCACCTTGGGATGGCAGATCCCTTGAGGGGAGGCAGAGCGTCCCTAGGTGGCTGGGGATGGCAGCCCCGGAGGGGCGTTCAAAATGGAGATAGTGCTTTCCTTCCTGTGTGCCCCGCTGGATCAGATGGCATCGTGGGCATGAAAGCACTTTGTGAACTATACACGGGAGAGTGGGAAGGAGGAAACCCTCTCTTTCTGTGCAACTAGAACTCCATTCAGGGGCTGGGGGGACTTTGGTATGTGCTGTTCTAAAGAGATCTGGGCCCGGAGCCTGCTCCTGGGTGAGGCTGGGCTGTCCACTTCAGTTCCTCGGCAGCAGCAGCAGCACGTTGTTCTCCTGCGACAGCTTGTGACTCCTTGTTCCTTGTCCTAGTCCCAGTCCCTCTTCACCATTGTGGACCCTTGCAGTAGCCTCCTCCCCAGCCCTCGTTCCTCCGCAGCCCCCCACTTCTAACCCTTGGGCCTGCCTGCTGCTGTTCTGCTGACGTGGAAGTTGGACCGTGGCACCCCTTACCCAGAGCCTTCAGTGACTCCCCACTCTTGCGATGTAATGTGAAGGTTGTTTGGCCACACTGTCCACCTGGCCCTACCTTTCCCACCTCTTTCCTACCCTGTCCTGTCCTCCACTGCTCCACAGGCTTACTTGACCCTTCTCTGCTCTCCTGAGCACTGTATTCCTGTGAATCTCCTGGCCGGAGCAGCCCTCCTTTCTTGGTAGGGCCCAGGGTGCTCACCTGGTGCACACAGACCACCTTCTGTCCTGGGTGCTTGCTCCTCCCCGCCCCCAGGACTGTGGGTCCTGGCCTTGGCTGCCTCCAAGGCCCTGCTGACCCCTGACCACCCCCACTCCCACACCCCTGTCATACCCCTGTTTGACAAGCATTATCACTCTCCGAAGTTGCCTTGCTCAGTCATTTGCAGACTGTCTTCTCTGCACCGGCTGAACATGAGAGCAGAGCAGGGAGGTCTACTTCAGCACTGTGCCAGCCCCAGTTCTGTAGCAGGCCCAAGTTGATCCCAACTGTAGCAGGGCAGGGGTGTTCATGCACACCTGTGCATGCTCATGCCGTCCTCTCTAGATCCTTTGTTCCCGAGGGCAGAGACTATGCTGTGGGTCTCCAGATCCCCTCGCCCCCACTCTGCGGACTCCATTCACTAGTGGACCCCTCCATGCAGCAGTGCACAGTTGTCATCAGGGACTGGCTCTCCCTTATGTCCTAGGGAGGTGGATGTTTCCAAGGGCCTGGGGAGCAGAGGGCCTGGAACTGAGCCAGTGCTCATGACGGTCACGTATGTCTTCCTGCTGTTTGTGTCCCACCTGCCAATGTTTGGGCTGAGGTGACAGTGCCACTGAGGCACACATGCTGGACCCTCCCAGGGAAGGGCACTGCGTGCCTCTCATAACTCTTCTTTCCTGCGCCAGGCCCTGCAGGTTCCCGATGGCGAGACTATGGCGCCTTGGCTGTCATCATGGCAGGAATTGCATTTGGCTTTCACCAGCTCTACAAGGTGAGTCACCCTTCCAGCAGCTGCTCGGCTGTGCCCTTGTACCCTTGGTGCTCAGCCCCCTTCTGGTCCTGGTTTACCTGTGCAGGGTTGCTGCCCGGGGAGCCCGTGGCCATGTGCGGGGCCATGGTGGGCATAGCAAGTGCTGAGGGACGCGGAGCGGGAGGGAGACTCCGGAGTCAGGTCCCCGCCCGGCTGGGGGAGCCTGGCACCTTCAGGCCCACCTCCTCTCAATCATGAGGTGTGTGCATTGACAGTCCATGTTGGACGCTTCAAACAGTGCCCAGCACACAGTAAGTGGCGTGTCAATTTTGGAGAGAAAGGGTAACGCTAAGAGCATGGACACCAAGCCCAGCTGCCCGTGTTGAACCCTGGCTCTGCCACTTAGTCGCTGTGTGACCACAGGCTGAGTTCTCCTGTGAACAGGGAGCACAGACCCATGTCATGAGGCTGTTGTGAGGGTCAGAGGTGGCAGTGCTCCTTTGCACAGTGCTCAGAACCATGCCCGACACATGGGAAGTGCTTCGAAGGCTGTTGTTCTATCCTGGTCCGTATTTAAAACCAGCTGTAAGAACCTCAGTGTAATCTTGTTTGTGGGATGTATTTTGTCTCCTATATATTGTGTTGGCATCTTTATAAATCTAGAATTTTCCCAGCCTTCATAGAGTCCACTGCTTACAGCAGAACTGCAGGCATGAAGTGACATTTACTTACTTGATACCAGTGGAAAGCTCCAACTTTGATTTGAAGAAAACGAGTCTTTTCTAGAAGATGTAGAGCCAGGGTAGGTCCCCAGATCCCAGATCTGCTGATCCTGGAGAGAAACCCCTTTCTCTTCTGAGGCTGCAGCTTCTCCACCCCTTATGTGGTGATTTTTTTTTTTTTTAAAGGACCTGAAGAATACTCAGACTTGTAGGTGTAAGTTTTAGCATGTGAAATGTGTTTAAACATTGTACTGTGGGATTCTTAATTTTTGACTTAGTACAGAACCTAATAACAGAGTTAGAGCAGAATATATTTTTTTCAGTCTAACATCTGTCCTGGAGTTGGAAATCTCCATGTCAGAAATCCAGAAGCAAAATGTTCTGGGGCCTGGGCTGTCTCCCTCCGAACCGATGCCTCCCCTTACTACATGTGTGGACAGCCTCTTTCAAATCCCTAACTGCGTGCGAGCGCCAGGAAGAATAAGACACCAACACAGAACTCTCAAGTGGATGCCTCGGCCCTGCTGAGCGGAACCGAGCTGTCACACGGCCACCCGTGGACGGCCTGGGACCCGACAGAAGCGGGGAGCATAGCTCCTCTGGTGTGGGCCCCAACACAGAGTTGTCATCAGTTGTTTCCACAAAGTTCTGAGCCTGCTGAGCCTGCTTTAGAGAAGAGAGGTTGAAGTGTCAGTCATAATGGTGACCAGAGAATTTCTAAAACATCTGCCAATAGTTGCTTTAAATTAAAAAAAAAAAAGGAGCAGTCAGAAGCTGTCATTTTGTTTTATAAGTATGTGAAGATTTAGGTGGGATGGAGTATGTATCCTTCCCTGTCATTTCTGATCTCAGAAATGGAGTTTTTAGGTAATTACACAGATGAGAATTTCTTGACTTTGATACTTAGGAAATTTTCAACCTGAAACGTAAAGCTCCATTTGATGAGTTTCGGCTCAGTTGTGGGTGATAACTCACTCCGTGGTTGAAAAGCACTTTGCAATAGAAAACGCTTCTATACCTACGCTAAATAATGGTCTTCACTTAGGAGCCGCTCTAGAAATGAGTTCTCCCACAACCCCACGAGAGGCCTTCTTCTCCTTCCCCAGTACAGGAACCTTAATGGAGAAGTTGCCGTCTTTTTTCCTATCTGGGGCCCTACTAGACTAAGAACCAGTTATCCTTTGGTCACACCCGCCAGGCTGCGCTGCGCTGCGCTAGCTCTGGCACCGCCTGCTGAAGTTGGCCGCGGGTCTCCCTGACCTCCAAATCCCACAACAGTTTCCACCTGTGCCCACCTGCCTTCTTCCTGAATGTTCCAAGACCCCTGGTTCCAGGCGCCTTTCTCGGTTCCCTGCAGCGTCAGCTTTCTCTTCCCCCAGGGCCACTTTCTTCCAGTCCCGCCCATCCCTCTCCCTGCGGCAGGGATGGGCTATAAAGTTCCTAGATTTCAGTTCTGGAGGAAGTTGGCTGCTTTTGATCCTTATGTGAAGGAAGCTTGTTCTGAGGATTCAGGCCTAGTTTAGAAAGAGACTGAGGTGACCGCTTCCAACAGCCTCGGAGTACCCCTCTGACATCCCCTGGAAAAAGAATGATGACTCCCAGAAAGCTTGTTGTTGATCTTCCTCCACTTTCTTGAGTAATTTTTTGTTTATTTAGGTTTACTCATTTGTTTCTGAATGGGCCATTCACTCCTAGGGCTCAGAATATTAAAGATCCAGAAAAGTGTACAGTGAAAAGCTCCCCACCGCTCCTCCCTGAGCCCCCAGTGCTGTCAATTTCTTGTACATCCTTCTATATTTTTATCTTACATCTTTTAAAGGGGAATTAAAATTTTTTGTCACTGAAATATTATAGCATCATTAAGTAGATAAAAGAACAAGAAAAGTTCTCATCACAGCAGATCAGATTGATTTTTCTTGTTCGTATTCCCTCCTGATCCTGTCTTTACTAAGGCAGAATTTTAACCTGGTTCTAATCCTGGTCTCACAACTTTTTCATGTACCTTGTTTGGTGCTTGCTTAGGGTTTCCAAAACCCGGGGCTGACAGAGAGAAAGCTGGGCAGTGGAATCTGAGAGATTGTTACCCATTTCTTACACCCATCCTGATTTTCATAGAAATACCTGCTCCCCCTCATCCTGGGTGGCCGAGAGGACAGGAAGCAGCTGGAGCGGATGGAGGCCAGTCTCTCCGAGCTGAGTGGCAGCGTGGCCCAGACAGGTAAAGATTAATGACTCCATCAAGTCACCCCTCAAAGCCTTCTCCAAGCACCCCCTTCTCTGCCCCCTCCCCTCTCCTCCATCTCCACTTTATGTGGTGACTTCATTTATCTGCTCTGAGAATCTGTTCACATTTGCAAATGAAGCCGCCGTCATTTCGGTTTAATTTGAAATTGCTTGTTTACTGTCGGCGCGGCCTCAATTAATTATGTTTTTACGGAAAGGCTCCCAACCTCAGAATATTAATAAGGGGAATAAAATGACAGCCTTTCTAAGGGCTGTAAAGTTCATTTTTAATTTCTGCTTCTATGAGGTTTTCAGGGGGGTTTTCAGTTATTTTCCCCCTTCCCTCTAAGAATCCAACACAGGGTCAAGAGAGTCTGTAATTACTGTGGCTCCCAGGACCCCAGCCACCTCCTCTGTTATCGACTCCACAGGGCTCGCGTTCATTACCCGGTGCCCCAATGATGGCCCAGATTAGCTGGGACCTGTCGCGCCAGAGGTGGCTTTCTCCTTTATAAACTTGTTTACTAGACGGAGGCTCTGAATCTGAAATCCTGAGGCAAGCAAGAGAGCCACTTGTCCCAGGCAGGGGTCTGTGTCTGTCTGGGGCACATTCGTGAAGCCCTCAGAAGTCCTCTGGCTCATCCATCCTGCTGGCAACTGCTCCTGGGAGCCTGACACTGATGGCACGAAAGCCTTGGCAGGGCATGTGGCATGGGAGCTCAGTGGGCAGCCTGAGGTTGGGTGGGAGGGTAGGAAGGAGCAGTAGGAACTGGGATTTGAAGTTTAACCACTCCTGAACACAGCAGGGACCTGGGCCGTACCTCTCCCAGGATGGGAGCCTTCTGTGAGTTGCACAAGGACACTATGCGGCCCATGAGATGAGTGATGTAGGCATCGTAGAGGCTGGGAGAGCCAAGACCATAAGCAGATATAATTAGAGAGGAGAGGTTTCGGATGGATATACTGTTGACCATAGACAAGTACACAGTAGAAAGATAAATAGAAATGCTAGAGGTTAGATACAGTGCAGGTAGATTACCCGGGGTGCAGATAAATTATATGGATTGCGGGGGGCATCTGCAGATAAATTAGATGCAGCGGGAAGGGGTAGCTTGTAGGTGTGTGGACCAAGGGAAGGGGCAGTGTGTCCCTATCAGTTTAACAGATGCCTCTGCTTTCTTCCTCCAGTGACTCAGTTGCAGACGACTCTGGCCTCAGTGCAGGAGCTGCTGATCCAGCAGCAGCAGAAGGTGCAGGAGCTTGCCCACGAGCTGGCTTCCGCCAAGGTACTTGTCCTTGCACCTGGCTCCCTCAGGCCCAGGGTGCCCTGCACAGCTCCTCACTCCAGTCCCTCCTGCTTGTCTTGCTGCCTTCTGTGGGTCTGACTTGGTCTCCCATCTGCCATGGTTACACAGCAGGGCCGCTCTGCCCTTAGAAAGGAGGGAATCACTGTGTTTTTGGTGTGGCATTTAACAACTGAGCATTCTTTCTGTCTCTGCATCATCTCCCAACAGGGAGCAAAAGCCACCCTCTGCCTGTGGACCTCTTGTGGCAGCCACATTCCTGAGCTCTGGAAGCTGTCTATGTAGACATGGGATGGCCTCCACCTGCAGTTAGGTGGCAGGTCATGGCACTGCCAAGAGGGATTCCAGGGCACAGAAAGGAGAGAAGCATGCCAGCTCCCGCCCTGTCCTGGGCACTGGGCTAACCTCACTGCAGTGGGCAGCTTCTCAACCCAGGTTTCACCACGGGTTCAGCTGACCCTAAAGGGAGAACCAGCTGTGACTGACTGAGGCAGCTTCCATGCTCCACTGCCCAAACTAGAAGCTGTCCTGGGAGTATCTGATTCTAGGATCTGACCACCCGGGTTAAAATCCTGGCTCTGCCACTTGCTAGCTGTGTGACCACAGGCGAGTTGCGTAACCTCTCTGTATCTTCCTCCACTGTCAAATGGAGCTATAACAGTCCCTACTTCATTGGGCTATTGACATGCTTAGAAGGTGCCTGGCTCCAGCCAGCTCCTGGGACTGTAGGCCCTGGATTCTGTGGAAGTGTGACAGGAGGTATCCCTGAGGCACTGTCTTGGACAGACGGCCCAGGAGACAATGGTCCAGTGGCTCCAGGTACCCAGTGGCCTCCACTCTCTGTCTCCTCCTGGAGCCGTGTGGCGGGTGGATGCTGCTTTCTGGCAGATTCCATGCAGCCCGATATCTAAAGGACCCCACGCCAAGTTGCTGGCCTGGGGAAGCCATACCCCAGCACGCTAGATTGAGCCCATGCTCAAATCTCTTTCATTTGCAAAAATCAGTGAAATGGGAATCCTCACATTTCTGATGGAATGTGGGGTGCCTCTTGTGAAGAGGGTCCCTGAGAAGCCCCTCCCCAGATATCCATCCTGCACACGGAGGGCTTCCTCCTCAGAAGGCCACTCCGGTCTTCAAGCCTGTGTCCCTGTGGGCTTCTGGCCCATAAAGCAGCCGGGAAGGCCAGGTGGTGGCCCCTGCCCCGATCTCCTCTATTATCTTTTGCATTGGTGGACTTCCAATGGCCAGAAGCCATTCTGGAAATTGGAAAACTGTTTCCAGACCTAACGCATTAAGAGTAAGACCACATGTTGCATTTTAAGAAGGGGCGGGGCCCGGGAGCGTGCTCGATGGTGGAGAGTGGCCTCTAGGAGTGTCCCGAGTTTGTTTTTCTGCCAGGCCCCCACCTGCCCCCGGCCTGCACTGAAGCGGGGCCCACTGGCCCTCACACAAACCCATATGTGTGAGGACTTCGGTTACCCCATAAACCAAAGACTCAGAGCTGTGTTTTGTCAGCTGTAATGTAAGTTTTTATATCTGCCTTCCAAACTCCTACTGGAACACTGTAAAAAATTAAAAAGAAGAGCTTTAAGTAATTAAAAAACCTACATAAAACTGAAGACTGTGAGTTTTCTACAACTGTTTTTTAAAGAGACTGGCTAAAAAGCCCCAGATGTCAGATTTTATTTCTAAATCCTGGCATCTGGCATCATATGCGTTTGGAAATCTGAGTCCTTTGTTGGCTGGTGAGTGGAAATTGCTCCCTTGTTAATGGGCTGCTGCTGTAGCTTTTGAGGTCTTAGAGAAACCAGAACAGGGGCTCTGGGGTCCTTGTTGTCTGGGGGTCTGGAGTGGAGTCGCTGAGGGGACGTGTGTGAGGGCAGCGGCTGGGTGTGCATCTGTGCCCAGACTGCTGGCTTTTGCTTCCCGAGACCTGCGGCCCCTTTCTAGGGGCTTCTCCCGACAAAGGTGCCCAGTGAGCTGCAGCAGACTGGCAGGGAACAACCAAGACTGTCTCCTTACAGCCTGGTGGTCGCAGTGTCGGGACAGTGAGAGCGCCACCCTGTTAATCTGTGTGCGTAAAGACAGCCCTAGGAGGCCTCTGGGCTGGTGGCTCTGGCCCTGCAACACTTCCTCGGCCACCGGCTGCTGCCACGGGGGGACTGCTATGTTGGCTGTCCTCTTCCCCATCCATTCCTACAGGATTTACCAAAAGCAAAGGGTGGCTCTCTCAAGTTTATTTGGAAAACAGTGTCAAATTCTAAGGGGAAAGGTGTTTGTCAGAGGTGACCGTGGCTGGTCTCCGTCACTTTGGAAAGGAATCGAAGTCAAGTTCAATGGATGGCTTCTTTCTGCTGAGCCTTCAGTCATCCCAAAAGAATTCTGGGAATGGGTGGCATGGCCACAGGTGTCTTTGCAGACAGCGAGGCAGAGACCGGGGAGGTCCTCCGTGGCCCCGCGGAGCCGCTGATGACCTGACCTCAGGGAGCTGGGAGCCAGAGGTCTTGGAGCAGCGTTGAGGGAAGAAGCCTGACATGGGCCAGATGGGCGCTCAGCTGCTGCCAGCCTCCCTGACACTCCCAGGTGGCTTCCAGGTGACAGGCCCAGGTTCCTGCCAGTGTCCGGGTAGCTGGCTCCTCTCAGCCTCTGAGTTCGCTTGTGTGTGGGGGTGACTCCTTGTGGAGGAAGCAGCTGTTGTGGAGGTGGTGTGCATTCACTTTATGGGTTTCTGTTTTAATGGTCATTTCAAACACACGCAGCGATGGAGGTCGAAGGACGAGCCCACATGCTACCCGACGCACCGCGGGGAGGAGGTCCTCCTGCAGCCCCTCCTGCCACGGGCCGGGGAGGGCCGCTCTCATCTGTGTTCCCTGTGATTTGACTTTCAGGCCACCACGTCTACCAACTGGATCCTCGAGTCCCAGAATATCAACGAACTCAAGTCGGAAATTAACTCCCTGAAAGGGCTTCTTTTAAATCGGTAGGCAAGCAGGCTCAGGACTCTGCTCTGGGTCTGGCCTCAGCCAAGGGAGCAGAAGGGGCACGTGTCCCCAAGGCCCCCCTCTGTTCAGCCCCCGACTGAGCTGTGTTCCTGAGGCACTGAGTTAGGGGAACTTTTCTTTCAGCTTCTACTTTTTCTCACCAGTAGGCTCCCTCCCCACTCCAGGGTGACAGTCTATGGCACCGACAGAGTTTTGAAATACAAACAGTTCCCCAGACCTGTCAAGATCTGGTCAAAGACAGCTGGAGCCAAGAAGCAGGGCCCTTTGAGCAGAGGACATCTCAGTTTGGCTCACCCTGAAACAGGGGCTCCAGACAGGGCCACCTGCTCCTCCTCCTGAGCCCCAGGTGACCTCTCAGTGACAGCTCTGGCCCACAGAAGGTCCCTACAGAAGGCCAGGGGTCTTTGTGCCCACTTAGTTAGAAGAGTTCTGTGGTTGAAGGCAGAGGTGGAACCAGTGCCCCCCCCTCCCGCAGCTTCCTTGCTCTCCCTCTGCAGTGACATTGTCACCAGTGCAGCCCTGGATGTAGGGTAACCAGCTTGACCTGATTTTATTTATTTTTTATTTTTTTATTTTTTTCCTTTTTGTCTTTTTTCGTGACCGGCAACGGGATCGCAACCCTCAGTGTCGCGCCCGCACCTCGCTCAGCCAGTGAGCGGCCGGTCTGTATGTGGGATCCGAACCCTCGGCGGGAGCGCCGCCACACTCCCAAGCGGCGCACTGTAGCAGTGCGCCACTGGGCCGGCCCGTTGACCTGATTTTAAAATGGAAAGTCCAGTGGCCAGGAACCTCTGCATCCTGGGAACCCAGGCAGATGGTTGGTCATTCTCACTGAGCGGTGCACTAGGTGGGCCTTGCTGGGGACGTTTGTGTTTCTCTGCTGGGCCTGGGATTTAGTTGGGGCCACGTGAGGCAGGATGGTGGCACCCAAGGTGGGCCGTTCACTCGGGCTCATGGATGTGGAGAGGTCCTTACTGTAGCCCCAGTGGGAGGACCCCATTTTCCAAGCCACCCGCTTCCTGGTCCTTCCTGAGGGAAAGAATGTGTCTTCAGAAGAGCTGTGACCGAGCTCACGGGAGGGCCTGATGGTTGTCACTAGGAGAAATCCTCTGTTTTCCCAAGTGGAGGCGATAAGTGCCTTTGCAGCTCAGGGACAGAGAGCAGGCTGCCAGCTAGCGCTGGAGCCAGGGGGCCTGCAGATGGCCTGTCTTGTTAGCGTTGATGACACTGGTGAACAGTGCGGGCCTCGTCCTGTGCTGTGCGCTCAGCAAGATGAGGTCTGAGGTGGGAGAGCTGCTTCTGAGACCAGTGCTGCGTGACAGTGGCAGCCCAGGACGGGGCAGGGCTTGGCCTCTTGGCTCAGGCAGAGATGGGCTTGTCCACCAAAGAGCTTCATTTCTGAGCCGTTGCCAAGCGGACCCGACCTCCCTGGTCCCTCCTGGAATTGGCTTTGGTCTGGGCTGGCTGCTGGCCCAGGGCCCGGGAACACAAGAGCGGAAGGGAGAGCTGGCCGTCCCCTGTAAAACTTTGAGCTGAGAGATTGTCTAGCAGAGTGCACTGACGTCGCCCTTTGGTTCCGATGTCTCTGACCCCGGCCAGTGGCCAGGGCTCCCTGCCTTCTCCTTCTGCTGGCCACTGGGTGGAGACGGGGGCAGGCCTGAGGGTCAGGAGGGAGCAGGCTGCAGGGAGTGGCAGCCCCAGGCCCGGCCGTTCAGCAGCTGCCAAGGCAGGCGGGCTTCGCCAGGGCAGGGAGGGCCCGGGGGCACTGGCTGGAGCAGGGTGGCCTGCGGGCTGCACAGGCAGGGCACTGCGGGCATCTGTCCCAGCAGACAGAACCTCCATCTGGCCAAGAGGCTTTGTTCTCAAAGGGAGGGGAGAGAGGGCTCTGTCCAGTCCCCTGCGAGGTGGCCCTAGGGGTGCTGCTCCCTAGAGCTGATCCTCGGGGGGCCGGGGAAGGTGTGGCTCTGGGGGGTGGGAGTCCCGCATGTTGTCACCAACCTGTACCTGTCTTCTCCCTCCTCTCCTGCCGCCTCTGCCAGGAGGCAGTTCCCGCCATCACCGTCAGCCCCGAAGATCCCCTCCTGGCAGATCCCGGTCAAGTCACCGTCCCCTTCTAGCCCCGCGGCCGTGAACCACCACAGCAGCAGCGACATCTCGCCCGTCAGCAATGAGTCCACGTCATCCTCACCTGGGAAGGAGAGCCACAGCCCCGAGGGCTCCACGGTCACCTACCACCTGCTGGGCCCCCAGGAGGAAGGCGCGGGCGTGGTGGACGTCAAGGGCCAGGTGAGGATGGAGGTGCAGGGCGAGGAGGACGAGGACGACGACGTGAGCCGCGTGGACGAGGAGGACTGCCTGGGGGTGCAGAGGGAGGACCGGAGGGGTGGGGACGGGCAGATCAACGAGCAGGTGGAGAAGCTGCGGCGGCCCGAGGGCGCCAGCACCGAGGGCGAGCGGGACTAGGGGCGTCGCCCCACCCGTAGGCACAGGGCTCAGCCCTGCTCCTGTGGCTCTGGGAGGGTGGCATGGAGCCCAAGAAGGGGACAGCACCGTCAGCTGCGCTGCGGCCCCGGCCCCGGCCCGGTGTGGGGGTTGCGCTTCTGTCCACCCAGCGCCTGTCCCGAGTGCCACCTGGCCCGGCCCAGCCCCAAGCCAGGCAGCCTCGGCCTTGCTCTCAAGTCGGGCTGAGTGCACCCAAGCCCCACCCAGCCCCCGGCCCGGACACACGTCTTGTGCAGGGTGTGCTTGCTGAGCGTCCTGCCTAGTGTGACACCGTGCATGGCAAGAGCTAGTGTCGCCTCCTGCCGCCTCGGTGCGGGGCAGCTGCACTCCCTCCTTCCTTCCCTCGACCCACTCGCCCTCGGCCCAGCCCTGTCCCCATAGCAGGTCCCGTCTGACTGAGGCAGCCCTCGGGTGCCTGTCCCCAGCCCCAGCCCCTTCGTGCCCCATCGTCCTCCCAGACCGCCGGGACCACAGCACGCTTCTGTCCCCCTTGCGTGCCGTGTCGTGGCTCAGCCAGGCCTGTGGCGAGCCGTGGGTCTCGGGGCCACGGAGGAGCCGGGCGTCAGGGCTTCCCACCCAGCAGTCACGTCTGTCCTTCCCACCGAGACACCGTGTTCATCTGTTTGATCATGTATAGATTTCAGAATATGAGATAGGGCTGTATATAATTGTAATAAATACAAGTTGCCACTATTTAACTCCTGCCTGTGGCCCCTGTCTGCTCCTGGCACCCTCACCCTGCAGGTGGGTCTCCGCTAAGGCGCCACCAGGTGAACCCTGGGTAGGGCCTGGGGGACGTGGGAAGGGCCCAGGCAAGCCCTGTGGGTGGCCGGACGCGGCGCCTGCCCTCCCTGAGGCAGGTTCCACAGCTGCTCACCCAGGACTGGAGGGGTCCCTCCCTCGTCCCAGTGTCTGCGGGAGGAGAAGGGACCCACGTTACTGTATATAGACCTGCCGCGGACTGCAGTGAGCCTCCTTCCTTAAATGGATGAATGTTCCCCCGGAGGGAGAGCGCGTCTTGTTCTCTCTCCTGCTGTCTCCTCTCGCTGTCACCCTCCCTGTCTCTCTTTAATCTTCACAGAACATTTAGCTGAAATCAGAAAAATAGCCAGATGCTCCTTCCAAGGGCCACTTTGCTCCCTCAAGCCCCAATGTGTCCTGGGGGATGTGGGCACAGGAATGTCCCTGTGCCTTGTGTTGACACAACAGCTTTGCAGATAGGATGCGCCAGGCAATGGCTGCCACCGCAGTGTCCCCTCTGAATGGCCTCGCAGGCCTCCTGGTCATAGCTTGCTCTTGCCCTGGGGAGGGACGGGGACATGGCCAGCGGGGCTGGGAGACGTAGTGTTGGGGCTGTTTCATCCCAGAAGACATCCTCCCTCCCAGCCCGATTCTCCCCGTCCCGAGTCTGGCCCGAGGGCCTCTGAGGTCAGGCCACCGTAACTTGGCCCGTCCTGCCCCTCCTGAGTGTGCAGCCACTGGTCTGGTTTCTGGCCTGCTGGTGTGTCTTCCATGCTCATGATCTCCCATGACACTGCTGTGGTCCGCTTTTCCAGTCACATGTTCCCTAGGGACAGTGGAGCCCAGGTTCAGAGTTGCCACTGCAGCTGTTCTCCTGCACCCCAGCCTCACCTGGATGAGGGGACCCTGCTCTCCCAGGTCCCTCAAGGAGTCCCCGTGTCCGTCCAGGAGCGGGGTGGGCAGACCTGAGATGGGCCCGCAGAGGGAGGTGGGCCGGGCCAGGTCCCAGGCTTGGGGGCTGGTGACTAAGGGTTTCTCGCCCTCAGACCTGCTGTGCCACGATCCCACCAAGGCAGATGGAAACCCCTTGATCCTGGGCAGGTCGGTTACTGGGGAGTCACGACCCTCTTTAGTTTGGTGACCATTTATTGTCATCTGTAGCTTTCCAGAGTTTCCTCCTCCTGTGAGACCAGAAAGAGACCAGAGGCCACATACACTGGGATGCAATGAGGCCAGAGCTGTCGGGTTGGCGCAGTGGAAGCAAAGCCATGCCTGGGGCCTCCCCGCCTCCGTCTCTCCCTCGAGATCTGGGGCCACGGGAGGGGGGTGGTTCCCCGGGGCTTTGCTATCCCTGAGGCGGGGGCAGCAGCGGCCTCAGAGGACGAGTTTTCTCCAACCTGGGGGTCAGCAGGCTTGCGGGTCTTTGGGACTCAAGCACGGAGGAGAAAGAGACGGAAACCTGGGGCCCGGAGGCCTTTGGCCCCTGTAGGTCCTGAGCACCGAGTTCGGCTTTTGAGGACAGAGAGTCTGGCGTGAATTCAGGGAGAGAAAAACCCCTCCCCAAAACGGCGTGAGTGCTGCCTAATAAAGGCAGCTGCTGGACGGAGGGAAAACAGCCCTTTGAAAAAAAAGCCTTTCATTAGAAAAATAATGCATTTCATCCAAATAAGGTAAAAATATTTGGAATGGGGCAGAAGTGAGCAGCAGGCAGCGCCTGTCAGGCCCTTTCTGGAAGGGAGAAGATTATTAAACTCAATTACAATGTATTTTTATAAAGTGTCTTTTAGGAAAGAACCAGCCCCCAGCACTCGGAGGCCGCAGGTCGGCTGTCCTGACCTCTGCCTGGACGGGCTTGCCCGGACCCCAAGGTCTCTCCCAGCCCCTCGGATGCCTGCCTGGTTCTACCTTGGGCAGGGCTCTCCCTTGGCATGTGTGGCGCCAGGTGGTGAGGTGGCGTCTGGGGCTTGCTGTAGGCCTCAGTAGCCTGGACGCTGCCCCCTCCCTCAGGAAAGCCCGAGGAGCCGGGGCCACCAGGGCCGGGGCCACCACCCCTCTGTCCTGCAGCCCATGTCCCGGGAACCCCCGGGGGGGATGAAGCAGTCTGGGCCAGGGAAAGGGGATGCTGAGTTTGTACCCAGACATGTTGGTCTTTTTCCCTATTGTGGGAGTAGATCTCAGATGTTTAGAAAAGCCAATCAGTATAGAAAGGAACAGAGTCGAAGAAGCCCCTTCCATCTTCCCCTGGTGCTTACCTCGTCTCTCGTTCTCTCCCCATCTCTCTCGATAAAAATGGGAGGCTCCTTTTCAGTTTTGTGGGACTTGCTTGTCTTACTGAAAAGTGAATTGTGTTTTGTCCTTTGGAGCCTTCACACCCACGTGGAAGAATTTTCTAGAAGGCCCCCCCCACCTACCCCGCTTCGGCCTAGCCAGGAGCACTGAGGGGCTGGTTCTCTGGCCTGGCCCCAGACCCCTCCCTCTCCTTTGGGTGATTGCCTCTGCCTGTGTCCAGAGCCCAAGAGGGGAGATGGGTGCGGGTAGGAGCCTTTCTCGGGGGGTCTGAGCCCCATCCTCAGGAGTTCACTTCATTCCTAGTGTTTCTTCATCTGTTTGTTTAAACTGGTTCCTGCCAAGGCACCCAGAGGAGAGGTGGGAGGCTCCAGACAGGGCAGGCGTGGGCAGGGCAGCCACAGGTGAGTGCTCACCTGGGGGAACCCCAGCCGCGCTCAGTCGCCCTGGCCCTGACCCTCCTGTCTGGCAGGAGGGGCTTGGCCGCTCTTCTTGCCCCTCTCTTTTGGCCTGCACAGGTGTCCCTCAGCCTGGGGCTGGCCACCACCTGCCCAAGGGAGCGACTCAGCAGACACATCCAGGGCGCTGTGTGGCCGCCGCCCACTGCACGCCCCCACTGGCACACGCTCCCGGGCCCTGCCCGCGCCGCCCACGGCGGCCTGACTGCGGCACCGGGCGTGCTCTGCTGCAAACCGAGTGAGCTCTCGTCCAGCATCGTGGGGTGACTTAACCTGAATCATGAACCAACCTTAATAGTTTCCTTTCATTGAGCACTTTAAAGTTCATGTTCTAGAAGAGATGAGGTTTATTGTAAAGAGAATGCCTGGAGCCTTTCCTTGCTCCATGACAAGTGCCAGAAGGACCTTCCTTAAAGTGACAGGGCCATGGTTTTAAATGCTCCTTTGACATTCAGGCCCCTCCTCCCACCCCAGCCAGCAATTCCAGGGATGCCCTGTCGTCCCAGGGGGTGGCAGCCAGCCTCGGGGAGCTCTGGCAGGGCTGAGGGAGGTGCTCCAGTGGGAACCGGTGTCTCGCTCCAGTGGCGTGGGGCTTATGGGAGGCCACACAGCTGGGTTTGGCTGCTGCTTGCCCTGGTGTGGGCCTACTGGGGGCTGCTTCCTGTCTGACCTGCCCCGGAGGGTGGGGCAGCTCCTCCCAGCAAGGGTGGCACAGGCCTGGCTTCTGTTTATTCCCAGCAGGTGAGGTCCCCATTTTGAGGGTCCTTGTTGGAGGCCCTGCTCCCTGCGGGCCTGACCTGAGGCTTGGGGCAGCAGTCCTTTGTCCCCCACCCCTGTGCCTTGGCCCTGGGCCAAGGCTACCCGTAAGGCCAGGGCTACGTCTCAACACTGGAGGGACAACCTGCCTTTGGCCAGTAGCCTGGATATATTGTTGCTGTGTGTCCAGGCGGGGGGCGGGGGGAGCAAGGCCTGGGCCCTGTGGGTGACTCAAGCACTGGTAGCCCAGTCGGGCCAGGTCTGTGGGAGGTGGGCAGGCCACTGAACTCAGCCGTGAGCTTGTGCAGCTGGTTCTGGCTCCTTCCAAGAGGTTACAATACTCTTGAGTTTGCCCCAGTTTGGGTGTAGGAGCATCGCACCACCACAGCTAATTAAATCCCAGAATGAAAACATGTTTTACTGCATTTCCTACTGAGTCCAACAAGCCATAGGGAGCGTGGTGGGGCCTGGGCCCATTCCCCACCCCTGGGTGGGGCGCCACCCGCAGCAGCAGGCCCCCTCCCTGCTCCTGGGAGTGGGGGTGGAACGCGGTCTCAGAGTGGGCACAAGTGCCTGATGGGGGTGTGTGGGCACTTCTCTGCCGCTCAGGGCAGAGTTGGGACTTGGAGCAATGGGTTGGCCTGTGTGCAGAATCCTGGTCCCTCCCCTGAGGCTCTTCTGAGCTCAGAGTTGGGACTCGGAGCAGTGGCTGGGTCTGGGCAGGCTTGGAAGCTGGTCCTACCCTTGGCTAGGCTGGGCCCCATCCACCGTGTGCCGAGGTCCTTCCAGGCGCAGGCAGGTGTGGAGGGGGCAGTTTTGGGGTCTGG